AAAAAGTTTATATTAATGTTAAAAAAAAGAATAATAATAATAATAATAATAATAATAAGAAACCGAGTAAAAACAATATGTTCCCAAACTCCGTTTGGGGAACATAAATATGTAATATACCCTTTTCTCAAAGTTTCAAGATTAAAGTAAGACAAGAAATATTTAGAATATGTCTATTCTTATTTAGGGACCAATGAACAAAACTCGTGAGGAATATGTGAAACAGGCATTCAAAAAGATGGATGCTACCGGTGACGGTCAGATAACAATCGAAGACATCCGAAGGTTATAATCCAGTCAACATAAAGTTCATGAGTGGCGAATGGACAGAGGATCAGTGTTTCCGACATTTCCTGGATTCCTTTGACAGCCCCGGAAATCCAGACGGTGTGGTAAGCCCCCCCCCCCCCCCCAATAAAAGAGAAACAAATAAACAAGGAAAAAAGAGGAAAAATTATCAAAGCATATCCATTAAAATGGTTTGATGGAGGTTTGTGTTAAATCTTTTTCTTACTAATTAATATTTCCAGGTGACCTGGGACGAATTTCTAAACTACTACGCCGGCGTCAGCGCCTCTATTGATGAAGACGGGTACTTCGCCACAATGATGAAACGTGCCTGGCGACTGTAATATTTAACATTTCCTGATACTAGTAACACGTGGTTCCGTCCGTATACAGACTGGTGGACAGCTTCAAGAGTAGACAGGGATATATGTTTATGATTTATGTATGTGATATATATACAGACTATGCAGATCTGAGGACGCCATTATTATAATCAAAACTTGTTGATCTTTACCTGTTTTTAATATGAAGTTTATATTAATGTTATATTCAAATAAATATACGTGGTTAACCTTTTGAAAGCCTGAATGTCACATTTGTGGATGAAATATTCGTACCATGGAGACTGGAACCAGAATTTCTTTTTTAATTCAGTGTATATTGTTAAAATGCGTGGCATTTTAAAAGAATGTAGTGGTTAAATGGTGTTCTTTGAATATAGTAGCTGCGGAGCTTTAGCTCTCCGAAAAAATCTGTCAATATTTTTTTTTTCGGAGAGCTACAGTTCTGCAACTACTATTTTCCTAACAAACTACAGTGGATTAAACTAGCACCTTATTTGGATTAAAATTGGAAACAAGAAGAAAAGATGTTTTCAGATTCCTTTGCATGGATATTTAAAAGTTGGCACTGAAATTAGCAAGAACTCATCATGGAAAAGCACTCTCTCTACATTGACTATATCCAAGTTTGAAATTTCAGTTATAGTCGACATTGTGGCAAAACTGGCGATCTCTTTTGCCTTTGTCAACCCTTTTTTTTCTTAACTGAAGCCTTGCCTTTTTTTTGCAAACTGTAGCTCTCTGAAAAAAAATATATTTTTCTATCAATATATTTTTTGCTTCCGACGCCAATGTATACAGTTCTGCAGCTAAGCCTTACCATAAGTATTTGAGCATGGTTGAATAAATAAAAGTGTACAATACTTCAAACAGTTTGTTTTTCAAAGTTTTACCTTTCTTATCAAACACGGAGATAATGAGCAATATTCAAGCACAAAAGTTAAAAGAAACAATACAGATCAACATTGTTCAGAGGCAAACATTTACCTCTATAACATCAGGGGTGGCCGTGGGATCAGGTGCCATGAGGAAGTAAGCATTCCCTGTCGACCATTGTGCTTCTTGTCATGATCGGGCAAAGAAAAATCCGTAGACAATTCCACGTGTAAATAATGACAACAATCGGTATGGAAAAACAATGACCTCATGATCGATTGTATTTCTGACAAGGTTATTATTATCGATCACAGAACTTGCAAAGTGGCGACTTTTAAACGAGGCCGTTGATATTCTTGTTTCATCAACTTGTTTGTCAGTATCTTGCCTAGTATAAAAAATGGTCATACGTAGATTAGTAGAGCAGACTCTTGAGCATCGACTCAACTGATAGACGTAAACAGGAAATTGGCAATAGAATAGTTGTGGATATAGTCACGTTTATCATAAAATTTTCTTGTTAGTTTACCATTCACGTCTTTCTCTAGTAAAATATCAAAATATAAAACAGATGTGTCAAATTTCATGATATCTTTTATTTCAAGTTCACTGTAATATATGAGTCGACATAAGATTTGAAGTAACTGTTGTTCATTGATAATGTCGTCAATATGTATTATATAAATATTGCATGTAGTTGAAAATAAAATTTTGAAAACCATTGTCAACCGAGGCGCAGCCGAGGTTGACAATGGTTTTCACAAAATTTTCAATGTTTCACTCAACTACATGCAATATTTATTATATTATACTGAATGTTTTATACAAAAACATGTTACAGTGAACCGTGCACGCATAAATTCCGCGCAGTCGCTATTTTTTGTAATACCACCCGTCGTCAAGCAATGTTGACTGTTGCTACGCAGGAGGGCGTGGCTTCATTATTCAGCGGGTAGTAGTGTTTTTTATCAAATGTTTCTCGACGAATCAGATTCAAGTAATTTACATGAAAGTATAATATACATAAATAATATTGCTGAAGGCCCCAGCAAGTGTTGTGTTCTTCTCATATTTCTGTTTTTGAATAAAGTCTGCTTCATATGAATACAAATATAGACCTGCTAATAACGGAGCACAATTGGTACCCTTGGTAATTCCGATTACAGATTGTTGAGTTGTGGGACCTGATCTCTAAAAACTTCATAGATATTGTATCAATCAGACATTCAAGTACTTTTAAATATCAACTTCAGAGTACTCATGTGTACAATAAGCATTTTTAAATTAAAAAAAAACAACAACAACAAAAACCCCACATTAATTCTGCAAATGTCCTATGGCAAGCAATGTAAATTTACGAGTTCCATTTTAATGAAAAAGTAGCTGTCAAAAAGAAAGGACTGTTACTTTATCGTGGAGAATGGTTGTATGTAAAGTGTTGAAAAGTAGTATGTGTTTGTGTTCCTAATTTTGGCAAAATCTTTATTATTTTATTCTTATTCATTAAGAATCCTTATTACAAGATGAACCAACCCCTACTTACTGTTATAACTAGGACTTCCATTTTTTGTCTTGTCCGTGTAGGACAAGGCAGGTTTACCCCCCCCCCCTTTTTTTTTAGCACAACTGAGCCGAAGGCTCAAGTGAATTTTTCTGATTTGTCCGTTGTCTGTCGTTGTCAACTTTTCACATTTTCATCTTCTTCTCAAGAACCATTGGGCCAATTTCAACCAAACTTGCCACAAAATATCCTTAGGTGAAGAGATTCAAGTCTGTACAAATAAAGGGCCACGCCTTCTTCCATGGGGATTATTATGAATTAGTGAAAAAATAATGGCATCTTGTAAAAAATCTTCTCAAGAACCACTGGGCCATGAAAGGTGAAAATCATGTGGAAGCATCCACAGGTAGTGTAGATTCAAGTTTGTTCAAGTCATGACACCCGGGGGCCGGGGATAGACGGGGCCACAATGGCTAATTAAAAGTTTTTCTTTGGAATATATAGAAAAAATCTTTAAAAATCTTCTTCTCCAGAACCATTGGGACAGGAAACATGAAACTCATGTGGAAGCATCCTTGCGTAGTGTAGATTCAAGTTTGTTCAATTCATGACCCCCAGGGGTAGGGCGGGGCCACAATGGCTGATCAAAGTTTTACAAAGGAATATATTGGAAAAATCTTTTTAAAAATATTCTCCAGAACCATTGGGACAGGAAAGATGAAACTCATGTGGAAGCATCCTATGGTAGTGTAAATTCAAGTTTACACAAATCATGACCCCCTGGGGTAGGGTGGGGCCACAATGGCTGATCAAAGTTTTATATAGGAATATACAGGAAAAATCTTTTTCTAAATCTTCTTATCAAGATCAGCAAAGCCATGATTGGTGATACATTTGTAAATGAAAACACCCTTAGTTAGACTTAAATTCATATTTCTTCATATCATGACCTCTGAGGGTAGTTTAGGGCCATAAATTTGCAATCATGGCTGTACATAGAAATCTAATGGGCAAAAATATTTAAAAATCTTCTTTAAGATAAGCAAAGTCATTGCATGATTGGTGATATTTATGTCCCTGGAAGCTCCTCTAGACAGTGTAGTTTTTATTTTCATTTCTTGGGGTTAAAATGGTAGACAATTTCAATGTCCTCGCCCAATGACGATCAATTTACACTAAAATATCTTTAATTTTTTTAGAGAACACCAAATCTATGATTATTATTTTTTTTATATGGAACTAATGGAAGCATCCTCAAGTGGTTTAGATTCAGGTTTGTTATCAAATTAAACCCCCTTTAAAGAGTGTGGCCACAGAAAAAAATTTTGCATAAGAATATATAGGAAAAAATCTTTTCCTAAACAGAAAAGTTTTGTTTTAGTCAAATTGACATCTGCAAGTAGTAAAGATTTAAATTTATTCAAATAATGTCCCAGGGCTGGGGTAGGAGGTTAGCAAGGGGTCACAATGGAGATCAAGTAATATGTTGGAAAAATCTTCTTTTGAAATATGGCAAAGTTATACATGTATGCTTTATTGATATAGTGACATTCTCAAGTAATAGAAAATTTAACACCCCCCCCCTCCCCCAAAAAGTAAACTTCAATACTGAGCTGATTTGTGTTTTTTAACTAGCCCAAGTTGCTCAGGTGAGCGATATGGCCCATAGACCTTTTTCTTGGGGGGGTCTATGAATAATGGAATTATTTATCATCCCTGTTAAAGATCGAATGTGGATGATAGATAAGGCATAGGCACAGATACTTTGTTTTAAAATGTCAATTTCTAAATTTTCCATTTTTTTCACATACATTTTAAAGCACATTTTGTTTCACAAGACACAGAGCACAAGCTTGTGTTATTTCCTAAAATGAATTTCCTCTTTTACCCCCTTTTACCATCCTTTTTGGTATCTTTTTTTCTGAATCCACATGAAAAGCCAATCTTGCATGCTCTGAATGTTTTTAAACTTTACAAGGAAAAAGAAACAAACATTGTAAAGAAAATTTGTGTGTTTATTTGGTTTAAGCACTTGAATAAAAGATGAAATAAATACATAGCATATAAGGGCCAACAAATCTAAGTCATCTAATGTCCAAGTACCCTTGATCATATTATGAAATATTTATAATGGCAGTTGCTTATTTTTCAGGATATTTTGTCCTCGTTTGTATAGTTTATGGAGTTATACAGAATATTAACGGCCTTTTCTTCAAATATAACAGCTGGGAAACATACACTTCTCTTCACACGCGATAGTTAAATATCACAAACCGACAAACGTACATGCACTAATTATGAAATTTTGTCACATCCCCTTCACTCTCCTTTTGATGTTTCATCAAAGTTTTCCACTAATTCTGAAAAATAATGTAAAAGATTGTCAATGTTTAAACCAACACATTCTTTTTATCATCATTTTAATTTTGGGGGAAAAAATACGGTCAAATTTTTGTGTGTTAAAAGGTATTTTTTAAGAAAACTCTCACAAAGTTAAAAGAGACAATATATTCTCAGAGAAATTGACACATAAAAAATAAAGACACATATGTTAATTAGCTGATACAGGACATCGAACCAAAGTCTCATTTTGAGAATTTTGAGTAAGAACAGGAAGCAAGGTCTACCTGGGACTCCATCGTCATCTTCATCAATGTCATCTGTGGACTGTTTGTTGTCACCGGATGCTGAAAGAAGAAAAATGTCATCAATAAAACTCAGAAGTAAAATAAAATAATATATAAAATTTTTGAAACCATTCTTATTCTGTTCTCCTGTCAGTACATGAGTATTTATTAGAAGATGAATTTACCAGCGACAGTTGAGGCCAATTTCTTTAGGCTGCTGAAGCTCTCGGCACCTAGTTGGTTTAAGATTCCTGGTAACATTTCTGCAATCTCTGCAAGAAATAAAAGAGCAAAAGTCCATAAACATGCCAGATTACTCATCATGCAGAAAACCTTTATTCTTTTTAATTTAGGAGCATAACATTGTGACAGTTCTTTTGATCAAACATATAAAAATATAAACCCCCAAAAGTTTGTAGTTGCTAAGTGAGCCCTCATCCCCCACCAAGACCATATTTTCTGAGACAACAAACAATAACAGCAAGCATCTTTGTTAATCATATTAATAGTTACACAACAATGATGAAGTTGGAGTGAGAATATAAGGTCTGTACTTACGTTTGTTCTCAGCCTGTCCGGTAATGGCAAAAGTATTTGCTGCCAATGAGGCCTGTACTTTTGGATTGTTAAAGTGGATCACAGTACCATCTTCTTTAATCATATTAACCTACATCATATATAAAACAATTTTTTTTTTCTATAAAATGAGACCTAATTAAACAGTATAAACATTAGTCTATCTAAATTTAATTCACTGATTCTCAGGCCAATTTTCTCCAAAACAGATGCAGGAGAGAGGCATTTTATTTATCATTTTGTTGGCAATATAAAAAGTAGATGAGTGAGGTATTTTTTTAATTTTTGAATTTCCTTTAAAATAAAGATAATTCTTTTAATCACAGATATACTTTCCATGTCTGATCAAAAGGTTTGCTTTATCCATTGCTTATCAGAATGTGAACATCATAGGCAATGTCTTCGAATGTATTTTCAAACGAAGTAGCCAAAATCTCTTTGAAAATGGCTACCGGAAGTGATATTTGAATTCTAAACTATAAAGAAATAAAAATGGAACTTTTTTTTCCGGATTGGTCTCCGCAATAGAAATTTTTTATTTTATTAAAAATACAATAAAATTGGCAATGCGGCTACCTCAAAACAGATGCGCGCGGGCCTGAGAACCAGAATTTCAATTTAATATAGGATTAAACGTTCTTTTTGAAAAATTTATCGATGTGTAAACTCTTGACATTTTACTCACAAACTAAATAAAAGTGCGAAGCACTTTTATGTTAAGTTTGTGAGTAAAATGTCAAGAGTTTACACATCGATAAATTTTTCAAAAAGAACGTTTAATTCTTATAATTCCAATATCGAATTTTTAATTATATTTAAATTATTTCTCTTTGAGGCCTCCATACAATCCGTTATTTCTGGACGGCGTAGGAATACATTTTACCTTAAAGGAACGTAATCGAGATGAATTTCGATAGAGTTCAACTTAAATTGTCAAAACAATCGATAAATAAACTTATAACAACTAATGGAATGTTGTTTAAGTCAACTAATATCGTAATTACGAGTTTACTTCAGAATAGTTCGTCTTTGACCATGGCCATGTTGACATAAACAACAACTCTCATAGCGAAACTTGCAGACCGACGACGCCTTCAATTTGCACTTGTTTATTCAAATATTGAGGAACAATATAGAAAGTTAATATGAATTTGATTCTAATAGGGCAAGAGTTTGAGGTACGTTTCTTTTCCCTGTCAAAGCGATACAGACTGAGCTTATTTTCTACGTATGAACGTTGAGACAGCGATTTTTAAAATTCACACTCGTGATCGGACAGTGACATAAACATTTTCACGGCGTCCATCAGTTAGGCAGTCTAGTATGTTGCCAGTTTTGTTTAAGCCCTAATTAAATTTAAAGTTTCTTGTATTCATTATTTAGCCAGAACAGACCCAGAAATAACTGCTTTCATTGTTTATACGATAACCTAGTAGTGTCATCAAGAAAGTAGTTCTGATGGAAAGAATTTATCGATGTGTAAAAATTTTCTGGAACGTGTTCTCGTCCAATCAAAACACAGGAATCAATAGATAAAATGAAGATTGGAATTATTTAGCCTTAATAACAATATAAGAAAGTCTTTAAAGGTGAATAATTCTTAGATTCCTAAGCTTCAACATTCAGTATTCTCTTTTAGAAGTATTTAAAATTTTACCTCTTCAATGCCAGGAATGTTGTTCACTGACAGTTTTTTGAGAGAACTCTGTAGTTTTTTGTCGTCTGTTGTGGCAGTTCTGTGTACGACCTTCTTCTTCCTCCTTGCAGTTCCCTGTATTGAAATACGACTTTAGGTAAGAAACTGAAGAAAACAGCATTTTATTACAAACATAAACTATCAGCATTGTTTCAGAGAAGTCTACATAATCTGCAGAACTGAAAAGAATGAGAAAGCCTGTCTGGCTCCAACAAGGCTGTCACTGTCCTTTTTGGTACAGCATCCCTTTTAGATTAGGATTTTTTTATACTCACAATTGTACAGTTTGTGAATTGAGAATTTCTAGATAAGTAAATTTGGGATTTTAAGGGGTTTCCCCAATTGGAAAAGGTCCGTTTATCGGACCCACATCAGAGAAACTGACTGCTAACTGTGACTATATTAAAGTATACTAACCTTTCCGCCTATACGAACTTGTTCTTGCAACTGCTTTAGTTTTTCTGGATTCATCTGCAAAAGAAAACTTAATTTTAAACAATTAACTCAAGACTTTTATATATACATGTAGTCTTTTTTTCAGAACTGACAGACATATATATACCTGAGATTTTTTTTCTCTACAGTGAGTACTGTTTCAAGTTTTTAGAGATCTTTTGTCCCTACATACTTTTGTTTTCTTCAGATTTTTCAAATTTTAAAAAATTATCAAGGATAACAAAGGAATTCATAAGTTTTTAATTTATGTAAAAAACTACCAAATAATTCATATTAACTGCCCCTGCCCTTATAAGCCCCCCTCCCCAGACCTTTTTCAATTGTCGGGAAATAAGGGCCAAATGTGCATTGATTAAAATCCTCTAAAATGGTATCGAAAGTCTGACAAAATTTGAGGAAAGTGAAAATGAAACTTTGTTATTGGGCTTTATATGGTAAACAAAAATAACATAACGTAATATTGCATTTATTTTAAAAAATAACTAAGGAGAAATCTGAAAGCAGGTGATTGTGGTAAGCTTTATTACTCCGTTGAAGGACATAACCCTCAGGGAATATGATTTTTAATGGGCAAAGAAATCTTCATGTCTCCCTCACTATCATGCAATAAATGTACGCCAGCCCACCGAGGTCTCCGGTAAATTTTGTCTGAGTCCAATAGTCTCTAGAACCACGCCAGACACCATGTCCAGTAGATAATTCAGAATAATCAGTAGTAAAATACAATTAAAGAAATAAGATAATGCATTATTTTTCAAAACTTCGTGAAATCGAATCTGTAAGAGTTTTACACCATTTAAGTATTGCAATACTTAGTAGTATGGCAAGTACCTGGCAGTTATCGAACATACTACCGCTCTTTTGCAGGGGAGTTGAGAAAACTCTAAATCTCGCGCGATCGAGCACAACTGAATGACTGCATGGAACAACCATTATACAGTTGTTACAATGTATTGCCACGGGTTGAACTCCAGATAATAGATTGTCAAATAAGGAAAGTTTAGAGTATTTTAATTTTATTAGCTTTCAAAAGTAAAGATATTCAATAAAAATTAATGAGCTTAGTGAAAAACATCTTCAAAAATGTTTCATCTGAGGACTAGCTGATCCTCTAGTATCTAACAAAATTTATAACTGTGATTCAGCGAATGTTTAGCTAGAAATTTCAACAGGATTTATTTCTAATATGTCTTTTTAAACTCCACAATGATCCATTTTGCATTGTATTCACTAGCACATTGTCCCCATCCAACAGACATTTTTTTCCTCCACTGTGAAAGAGTTCCGCCAATCACAAATCAATTTTAATTTTACATTTTGTTGTTTTTACATTTGGTCTGGCAAATTTTTAGTGTGTCCTGTAATTTTTTTGATTTTTAGACACTCTGTAGGACACTATGTTCCGACAGATTTTTTACCTCTTTCGCCAACTCTGGATCACAACTAGTGCTGTGCGATATTACCGGTTAACCGGTGTATCCCGATTTCGTTCTTCACAATACGTATCGCGGTATTTTTTTGTGAATATCGGTTCGGGTTCGATATGCTATAAATTGTTACAAAAAGAGTTATTTGCCCTTTTCAAGGTAAAATATGGCGGCAAGCGACGTGAAGTGTGATCAAGAGACATGTCTCTTTCAAAACCGAAACGACAACAACTGTTATATTAAACCCCTTCATGTTAAAGCTGAATCTGAGTGTTACAACTTACCCGGTAATTGAATTCAACAAGTTGTGCTACAAAAAATATTATTTTGCCACTTTCGCCGACATAACGCGATCAGGCAATTGGAATATCAACTCTACATGTAATTTGAGTTTGTGTTTTCATTTAACCTTGATTATTAAATATTTATATCGTGATATATTGCAATACAAAATATAATATTGCAATATATTGCGATACAATTTTTCAGTCGCGATACCCAGCACTAATCACAACTATGCTTCACATGTAAACTAAATGCCAAAGTTGTAACTCTCTGTTATTCATGTCTCTACAGAATTTTAAGATTTCAAAACAGAGAACAAATATATGTATATCAACAAGAGAATATTAAACTAAAACCGAAATGTTGAAATCCCAATCAATCTTGTAAATCACTGATTGGTTGAAAAAAACTTCAAGTGTATCTATAAAATTTATAATGAACATCATTTGTAATTTAACAAAAATCAAGATGCAAAAATTCTATGCAAACACTCCATTGAACATTGAGAAATGGTAATTAGTCACATAGCTAAACCAATCTCTAAATCGCTTTTAACATTTCATACAAAACATAACTAGTGATGTATGTGTTTGAGTGTAATCTAATAACTTTGCTATAAAAGGCGCAAAAAGGTAAGTGAAATTAAAGGTCAAGGTAAATGACTATGACTAAATCTAAATGTTAAAGCATGTTATTACAAAGCACTGCACTAAGGACTGAAGGGGCTAAAAATGAGAAAGCGGGGATTGATTTGATTTTCCTCAACACGGTTACTTCTTGAACACTGTATTTCTGATGACAAATACCCTAAATAAAATGTTATAAAGGGCACAATTCACCCGTTTGCTTATCACTAGGGATATCATGTTCAACAAGAGGATGCATGTTATTGTTATTCAATTTCACAACGCACACAAAGATTATCTGATCAGATTTACATTTCTCAAACATAGAATACAAATCAGAATTGTTGATTTTACTAAATGAACCGTCATAATGTCTCAAAGTTTTTGATTTTTTACCTTGAATCTTGTGTATAACTGTAAGACCCACGAGGTCTCTAATATGGCCGCCTGAAAAAGGAAGATGACGTAGTAAAATTTCGCGTATAATCTCAAAGAAGATTTCCTCCCCAAAAAGCAATAATGAATTGGTTGTACAGCAGAGTAAATCAAAATGATTTAATATATAAATACACTGTTGATTATGAATTTATTAAAAATAAACTCAGATAAATGTTAGAATTATTGGTTTAGAGAGTTCTTGTGTTCTACGTCATATTTTCACTTTGCTGAACAAGGCAAATAAGGCGGGAAATATACTCGAGCTCATCATTCTTTGCACGGGATTTCGTTTATAAACCACATGATGGACACACCCGGCACTAGTTCATCATCAGACAAGGAAAGGTGTGTGTCAGTGTATAGATTTATATGTGTAACTTTAGCATTCACCCACAGTGATACAACTTTTAATTGGGATCTACTCTTTACAGATTGCTTTATAAGGAGTAAACAAAGATGCTTAGTTATTTCTTGTTTACTTGATTGTAGAATGTTGTCAAACTAGTTTAGATAGAAGTACTCATTCTTTATGACATTTGTATTCATAATGTATCTCAATTCATTTTAAATACAGACTTGGTTGTTGTCAGTCTTCATTTGCATCAGCAAGAAAGCCTTATTTTTAATCATTTTGCATTACTGATTACAGGATGGAAGCTGCAGAGACTGCTGTTGCCATTTTGGCTCAGGGAAAGCGCAACATGGTGTGTGGTGAAATTCCCAATGCCGTCAACCAGTTCCAGGAGGCATGCAAAGTTCTGTAAGTAGACAGTTTAAATCCAGCATGAATACCTTATATTTTGATATCATTCTGCAACTTGTTTTAGAGACCAATTTGGACATGATGTTCATTGTTTAAATTATTATACCATCTAATATCTATGATATTACTAGTCCAAAGCATTTGTTCTTTAACTAAATTCAGTTCTAGACAGACCTGCCAAGTGACCCGCATTCATGGGTCACACCCGTTTGACCTCTCACCCCCCACTATAAGCGGCGTGTCATTGTCTTCACCCGCAAAATCGATCATCCCAATTTTTTGACCCAATATTAATTAAGCATGTTTGTCTTGTCATTCTCAAGAAAGATCTGAAAATTCATCCTAAAATTTCCGATTTGTGTTTTATAAATCAGGATATGAACATCTTGTTTATTCAATGCACACAGATTAGTATCTTTGTTTGCCGAGGTGTTAAAAAAAACTGTTAATTAAGCACAGGAAATCACTTCACGCTTGATCGCAGACTGACACAGCTGTACAGGTAATATGCCTGGAGCATTTAGGGGATTATCTAACCATTTGAAGGGGTATATGCATGGTGAACCACATAGATTTAGAGGTTAATTAAATATCATTTTATTAAAAACAGAAATTAATTAATTAAATACAATGATATGATAAACATTGGGATCGTTTTTTAAAAACGAAAGTAAAAAAACGAAACTACAAAGCATAACTGATAACAGCTGATTTTATCAGCTCTCGTATATTGAAATTATTGTTAAGAGTAGTGGTTAAAAGAAAATGATATTAATTAAGATAAAGCAAAAGAGTCTAAAGTGAAGTATATTGAATTTCTTCAAAATGTAGTATTGTACGTTGTGTTTCTTTGTTAAATGGCTATGACAAGGGAATACCCACTTGTCATCACATCATGACTCTAACGATTTTAAGTTTTTGTTTGGGGTGTTAGGTATCCTTCATAATTTATTTTGTAGTATTTGATTCATTTAATTTTTTTTTGTGTGTGTTTTAAAATTAATAATAGGAAATTAGATGGCACATATTTCTTAACACCACCCCCTGCAGCAACAATTTTTCAATATCAATCTTTCAATGTAATGTCTAATTACAATTTTCTGATTGTGTAATATGTTGAAAATTAATCATTGTAGAATAACAAATGTTTCCCATTAACATTTTAAATTTTTAAAACTTTGCAAAAATTCTATTGAACTAAAAGTATCTGAATCTTACTATCAATCTGAAAGCGTTCTGCAATTTTAAGTAACCTGTCCTAAGTAAAAATTAAGTCTGCAATAAAATATAACATATACATGCATGTGTTTGACTGTTTGCATTGATGCCTAAAAATTAGGGAGCATTTTGTTACTAAACCTTGCCAAAAATGTCGTTTATATATTTTTTCAATTCTGAATGTTTGTAATTAAATTTTTGGTTGGCAGGTCTGCCTAGAGTGTCTGCTCATGCGACCCATTACATGAATCTTGTTTGTAAGTCTAAGGTAAAGGTTTTGATACAACAGTCAAGATCAAAGTTCATTAATGAACTATTTAGAGTGTGCCTTCTTTTGGTCTTGTCATTCTCTTTGAGTAAACTTATAGTTCTGCATTGATTCTTTCCTTTGAAATGTCGAGACCTTCAGAGTTAGACACCTCATCACCAAAGGAAAATCTAGTTTGTCAAGAATATTAGCTTATAAAGAGTCTCACACAATAAACATTTATGAAGATTTCTCTCCTTTGATAAGCTAAATGCTGGCATGTAAGAAGTTTTGATTTAGATGTTGTAGTGTGGGTTTAACACTAAATCTTTATACTAGACAACTTAAAATCATGATTCCAGAGCAAAAGCATATGGAGAAACAGCTAAAGAATGTGCAGAGGCTTACTTCTACTATGGACAGTCACTGCTAGATCTCGCCAGAATGGAAACTGGTGTGCTTGGAAATGCTCTGCAAGGAGGTAGGTAGCTTTTGCTTTCAGTGTTTTTAAGAGTGCCGTAAATTTACCCACATTGTAGTAATAACATTGCATACTAGTAATAGCGGAACCTGTGTGTGGTGGAAGGCAATTGAATGCTGCAATTTGAATGTTTGTATAGTACTTGACCAAAAGTTCGTGAATGGATTTTATTTGGTTTATTCCTGTTTGTTAGTAGCTTTTTGGTAACTACATAACGTTTTTGATATTCATTAAATGTAGGACTTGTACAAAGTTAAAGAAATTCAAAGTAAAGGCATACATGTATTTCTTAAGGTTGGAATATCTAGAATCTCATGTTTATCAACAAGTTTGACAGCAGTCCATCTTGTCCTTTTTCTTGGGAGATAGGGGGATTGCTGTAACTTGAACTGTGACAAAGCAAAAAATGAAAAATGTTGGGAGTTATGTTGCTGAATCTATGGGATTGTGATTTGTAGTTCCTGAGGAAGAAGAAACTGAAGATGATAAAAAACCCACTGAACAGTTTGAACCAGCAGACATAAATGGTGTGTGGCTAAGAAATACAGATACTCGTGTTAGGAATAATGAAGGCGGTTTTGTTTGACTATTACATTCTGTTATTGCATTTGATTGAAGATTTGTATTTAAAAGTTAAATATCAGTATTTTGGGATATTGTTACTCTGGTCTAAACATGCCTGTAAGAGCCTGTATTGCTTGGTAGGAGAAGAACGGGAAAAGCTTCGTATGGAAGTTTACGATGCTATGGCAGAACATGAGGGCTCTAAGGAGGGGGAAAAAGAGTGTGATAAAAAGGAATCCGAGGGTAAGGAGAAAATGGAAACTGATGAGGAAAAAAAGAAGTCTGATGGTGAACCGTTGAAAAATGGGACAGTGGAAGGGGAAAAGAAAGAGGAAAAAGGTGCTTATAGTTCACTGTTGGTGTTGAAAGCTGTTCTGTTGAGCTTTTGTGCTTGCTTGTAATGCTTGGGGGTTCTGAGTATGTTTATTTGCATGAGGCAGTGGAATATGTTCTATTTTGTTTGTGGATAATCTGCCAGTTGTTTTTGCAAGTTCTAACCTTTTTTACCTAATATGCACTAAAAAGAAGTTGCTGCACTTGTTTTACATTAATTTGTTTATTTACATAACTAGAGATTGCATTACTTTACTGAATTCATAATATGCAATGACAATTGAACACAGATATCTTGAATATAATGGATATGTCAAAGCAATTTAAAAGCCCTGTGTGCTTATTTTTTTAAGTATTTTACCTTGGATATCTCAAAGTATTTTTATAATGCCATCCTGTCCAATATAATCTATTCATTTATAGTTGGCTAGCAGCTGATGGATCTTTTTAACTTTCACAATGATTTGATCGAGAACATTTTAGCTTAAAAGTTCCAGAATTTAAAACCCTTATGGTCTTTGGGGAAAGGAGAAATTAAGTTAATTAAAGTACATGAATGAAAAAGAATTTAAATCTAGTTTTATGCTTAAAAAAAATCATATTTGATGTATATTCTGCATTCAGGTATATGCAATATATATACACATTAATGAGAATTTTCTGGAAGTAATTTAATTTATTTAGCATATCTGTAATCAAATACCAAGTTAAGAATTAAGTAAAATATAAATTTAAATTGCACGAAATAAGAGCCAATCCAAAATATAAAATTTAAATTTTAGAACTCATAGGAAGAATTTGACTTTGTCTAAAATAAATTTGCTTAAATCTTGTTTGTTTTTACAGAGGAGGAAGGAGAGGAGGAGGGAGATGAAGAGGAGGGTGAGACGGCAGAAGAGGGGGATACAGCTGAGGAGGGAGAGACAGCCGAGGAAGGGGACACAGCAGAGGAGCTGGAGACTGCAGAGGAGTCACAGGAATCACAGGAGGAGGGAGAGGAGGGCAAGAAGAAAGAGGTAACTGAAAGTTGATTGGTCAGTTGTTGAACTGAGGAGGGGAAGAAGTAAACAATAGTTTTATTGATTAGTCAGTGATTGAGGAGGGAAAAGAGATAGGTGGTAATTCATGGTTAATTACTCAATTGTTGAGGAGGACAAAAGGAAAATGGCAAATGATAATTTATAAGAATACCGTATTTCGGGGAGTACAATACGCACTTTTTTCCTAAAATAAATTTCTGTGAGAAAGGGATGCGTATTTTACATCACAATGGGATTTTGACAAGTTTTTCTTTCAGGTGAAACACGGCTATCATACGTACATACCGTAGTATTACTTAGAGACATATGCAATTTCTATTGTTAATTGCCATATTTTAAACTTCGGAAAGTTATTGTTGGAAGGTATGCTTCTTAAAAATGTCACTTTCATAATCTTTTGATACCAAAATAACATGAAAAAGTAAGTTAAAAGTAATTTGAGCTGCATGTTGATTGTCTCCGAGGAGGCCGTCATTACCGATGTTATTTTTAGAAGTTCACTCATGGCTATGTCACGTGCTTCCGTAATGATAGTGCACATGCACCTTATCTGCCAGACAAAAGTAATAAATCATTTTTTAATGAAATACAATAAAATAAATATTAATTTTAGGTTTAAAATAACTCAATGATAATCTGCAACAATATTAACACCCCTCCATACGTCCCAATGAAAGGAAGCCAATGTTGTGACACACGTGCGCTGGTCAAATGATAATTGCCTATCAACACCCCTTAGGGCAATTAATTGTCTACCGACTCCAAAGCAATCTAGCAATGTTTTTACAGTTAGAGCACTGATTATTTACTGCCATGTTAATTGCTTTGATTATTTTCTTTGTTAAAAATTGGGGGTCGGTTTATGACCATTGGTATGTGTGAGCATGTGTTGATTACGGCATCTTAAACAATTAAACACTTGTTAAATGTAATTTTACCTTATCTTATACTTATCGGCCTCTTGTTTAAATAATTGAGAGTTGAGAAATGAAATATAAATTATGCTAAAACTTTTAATAAAAGTGGTATCATTTAGAAAATAAGATATCCGCGAAGATTCAGAAGAGGAAAATCGTAGTCTTCTTAAAGAAATAAATACTTTGATGTTTCAATTTCGTTTCCTGTTAAAATATTGTAAGATAATTTTAAGCATGATTAACTAGAACCAAAATTAAATATGACAACTGATAAAACTTTTGACAATATCTCTTGCTTTGTTGAAATAAAATTATTTCATCTAAGAATATGGCGATGCATAATTTCAAAATCACCGTAATTATTCTTTAAAAAAATCTGTTAATACTTTTACGCAACATTATCTTGTGCTTTGTTGAAATAAATGAATAAATAATTTTCTCCAGATTGCCGCAATATGGAATGTCAGGATTAAGAGAAAGTTATAAAGTGTGTATTTAAAAAAAAAGTGTGTTCAGTAAATTTTTGATACTTAATCCTCGCGCCGATTTTCGTAACAAATTACCGCGATTTTCGTAGTTCAGAACATCGCTTGGTAAATTTTTCTGTTGCGTATAATACATCCGAACTGTGTTTTTTTCCCCAGTTTCAGACTCAAAAAGGGGGGTGCGTATTTTACATCAATGCGTATTATACTCGGCCAAATACGGTAGTTGTTTTTTAGGGGAAGAAAGAGGGAAATGGTAGTTGATAGTTCAGTGGTTAAGTAGGGAAAGAGGAAAAAGGCAACAGATACTTTTATAAAAAAGTCAGTTGATTAGGAGGGAAAGAAAAAAAGGGGGAAGTGATGGTTAATTAGTGAGTTTTTGAGGTGGGAAAGAAAAGGTAACTAAAGATTGGTTTAATAATTAATTCTTGAGGGTAGATTAATCAGCTACTTGTAGCAAGATTGTTATAATAATGCTCTATTTCACATATTTATGTTTATTGATTGATATATTATTGTTTTACAAACACTGTGACAGTTTGCTTGATGGGGCGTGCTAAAATTTTGTGTGCTGGTTATCATTTTGCTCATCGATTGGATCAATGAAATCAATACTAATTTGCATATGAAACTCGGAATACAACAATAGCCTGATAATACTGACCAATCACATTGAACGATTGTTTACCAATACGGCATTTGTAGTCAGCAGCAACACGTGGTCAGTCAAAGCCCATTTTCTGTCTTCAAAACAGCATACATGTACAGTGAACCCTCAGATATCCGGACGCCAGATATCCGGACGCTTCAGTATCCGGAAGATTTTCATCGGAACAGAATTTTTTAACGTTATTTTGTCTTGTTTAACTGGTGATTCAGATATCCGGATGCTTCACATATCCGGACAAATTGACTGGGAACCAAAGTGTCCGGATAAATGAGGGTCCACTGTATTATATTTGTTGTGATTTGACCGGATGGGTTTTTAAATACGTATAAGAAAATTTAAAGAATGGAATTAGTAAGGCTACTCTGTTTTTGTTGTACTATATATGTACGTTGCTCTGTCAATATCATCATTATAGGAAGTAAAACTTGCTTTGTCCGTTCACGTGTTATTGTTGTTTATTAAATGCGATTGGTCAGTATTGTTAGTGGTAATGCTGGGTTCTGTGTTTCATATGCAAAGTATTATTGATTCCATTGAAATCAAACATCCAATCGATGAGTAAAATGATAATCAGGCATACGAAATTTCAGCACGCCCTATCAAGCAAACTGTCACGCTGTTTGTAAAACAATAATATCATGTATGTTAACGTGTATTTGTATCTTTACTACAGAATCCCGATGACATATCCAATTTGCAGTTGGCATGGGAAATGTTGGAACTGGCCAAAGTGATCTATTTAAAGTAAGAAGATTTGTTGGAATTATAAATTTGAATGAGTTCATTATATAGTAAACTGTGATATATATGTCAGGAGATAATTATTATAGTAATAGTTGTTTGAATTTATTGGTCTGGACTTTTTTCAGAGATGAAGACAAAAAATCCAAACTGAAGGCTGCAGAGTCTTTCCTGAAATTAGGAGAAGTCAGTTTAGAAACAGGTATAAATCAATAATAAATTTTAAAATCAGTAATTACAAAGGAAATTGCAGTTATCTCAAACACTAATTTCTTGAATACCAGGGATATGTTGAAGCTAGATAGGAGCATCATTTTTGTTTTTCAATTTTTTTTTTAAATGGTTTTTACAGCCATGTTGAATATATCTCAATGTTTAATTTGAGTCCTGTTGAGTTGGAGATATCAAGGTTTGACAGTAATTGAAAGCTGTAGAATATTGTTAATATGTTGATTGTACTATGTAATTATTTATGTGTGTTTACAGCATTTTATAAAGGTTCTTTTGTATTTTTTTCCCTTTAGAAAATTATGAGCAAGCAATATCAGATTTCAAAGAATGTCTTAAAATCCAAGAAGCTGAATTAGAACCAGATGACAGACTTTTAGCTGAAACGTATCCTTCACAACTATGGAAGTTCAGAAAAATGCAAACAGTTCATATAGTTTTTCTGATTGTACATGTATGATTATAAAAAATGTGATTCCAGGTATGAAAGTTCAGAATTTCCCAAGTTAAAAAAGGGGGAGGGGAGTTAAAGCAATCTTTTACGTTGTGAATTTTTCTTAACTTGCTATCAGTCATTATCAGCTTGGATTAGCACATGGGTTCAACAAACAATATGATGACTCCATAGATCAGTATAGAAAAGCTATTAAAGTTATGGAAGCCAAAATGAGTAAGTACAAATTAAGGCCAAAGTTATTTTATCTTTAGGTTTATGGATTTTTTCAACCATAATGTCCATTGGGTGGCGACAAAATAAAAATAAAAATAATTTGAAACTTCTTTCAAACAGAACATAGCTGATTTAAAAAAACACAAAACACCACCACCCTTCTTTTGAATTGGTAAAAATTAGAAACAATTCCTGAAATTATTTGTAGTAAAATGAGAATCAAATAAAAGGAACTACAAATGATTTTACTGAAGGTTTACTTCAGATCTTATTTGAAATCATTTAAAAAAATATCTTTTTAAATATTGAAAATGTTGATCATAGAATATTTTTGGAACATTACACATTCATTTTTTTTAAACAAAAAACCAACTAATTTACTTTGATTTAGATTCATAATCTTGTAAACTATATTAATTATCAAGACGAAGTCAAAGATTGTCTTCACTTCTTTTAGTGAAACCCTACACTGTTGCCTATTTCCTTTTATTAGCATGACCTTATTGCTACGGTTAAAGTCAAATGTCAACAACAAAGCATGTATCTGGGACCTATAACCATGAAAATGATCTATTTATCTGGTTATATTAATTTTTTCATTGTTTCATACTGTGATACACTTGTCACATAAAATTTAGCATGTGTCTGGGTTTGGGAAATAAAATTCAAGTTAGAAAAAACGTACACAGTCTTTGTGTGCAGTTTCTACAATTTTGTCCAGTTTCAACATATTAATTCCTTACTTTTGAACTGGAAGAAAAATATTACCAATGGGAAAAAAAGGGAAGTTATGTCATTGAAACAGCTGATATTTGGTGGTTATTTTTATTTCCATAAAAATCATAGATTACGTTTTTAACAGGACTCTTTGGGGAAAAGAAATATTGCATCTCCCATAGTTTGCTCTTCTCTCATTCTCTGTGAAAATTAAGTTTCTGGACATCGTGCTATCTCAAAGACATTTTAACTGCACTTTAAAATAAAGACATGCTTGCCGCCATGTTTACACGTTTTTATACGCCCGTCTTAAGACGGGACGTATTATGTTATACTGTCCGTCTGTCCATTCCTGTCCGGCTCATAACTTCAATACTAATAGGCCTAATTATCAAACTTTGTCAACTGATACTTCTTGGGTAGACGGTGTGTCGCGCACAAAAAGTTTAGGTCGCTCTGACCTTTTTGCTATGGCCAAATATGGAAAAATACTGTCCTGCTCATAACTAGTAAACTATTAGACCTAGAACTATCAAACTTGGCAAATGTATACATCTTGGGTAGAAGGTGTGTACCTATTTCAAGGTCACTGTGACCTTTAATTTAAGTGAAATTTTTTTAAAAACTAAGTCTTTTAAATTTTGAATTTCATAATCCTAAAAAATGCAAAATTTTAGTTGTATCCTTATTAAAAAAGTGTTAAATCAAGAAAATACTTATTTTTTTCAGCATATACTTGACAGCAATCTATAACAGATATTATGTATGTTAAGAGAAATCCCATGTCTCCCATGAGTGTAATTATCAAGCACTGGTCAAGAGGTTTGATAACAGAAAATTGCATGTCAAATTAGAGAGAAATTAATGAGTTTAGTGTGAGGAGCAAACTGGAGACCATCGGTGTTATCTATGTCCCTTTGGGAATTGGGCAGATGGGTAAGCCTGTTGGATTAAAAATAGCTCTTGTTGGCTAGCCTAAGTTTTAAAATGATTTTGATGAAAAGTAATTAACACTAATTTGATATTGCATTATAAACTAATCTAATAATATATAATATTATTAATTTAAAAAACTAATTTCATAGGGGTGGAATCAGCATGTCCATTTTCCATAGAAATTGCATATTTAAACCTTTCTGACATTAAATGTTAAAAAAAAAAATCATTGAGTATTTTATATGTTTTAAAAATATTTTATGGTAGATAGTGCAGATTCATTCATCTGTAGTAATGAGAAGACAAGCATCCAGTCAAAGATTAATTAATGAGTTCAATTTAGGAAGGCTAGCTAGCATCTTCTTATCTGTATCCTTTGAGAATTAGACAGAAGAACTGCCGGTCAGTTTAAATAGCATATGTCATTTGATGGCCTAGCCTTTTATTTTCAAAATTAATTTGGTTTAAATTAAGTTGTTAAGACTAATTTGATATTGTTTAATATGATGTGCATTTGACAATTAAGGTCTAATACAACCAGTATAGAAATCTATCAATGATGTAATTTGTTATAATTAATGCCTACACCACAGGGGATATCGATGGATAAACAAATATTTTAAGGAATAGAAAAAATCATGGAAATTTTAGAATCAAGGTTTACATGATTTTCTTGCACTCTAAACTGTTTAAGTTAATTGTAATTTTTTGACGGGCGTATCATGCTGTGGCGTGGCACTTTATTGTTTATAGTCACTGAAACGTTTGAAACAATGAGACGTTTTATAACATGTTTGGGACTCAGACGCATTATAAATATTAAAACCCTGATGATCAGGCATGAATTTTCCGGAAAATTATCGAAAGTGGTGAAAAAATCCATTATTTTTATTTTCTAGACCCTGAAAAAATCGGGTCGGCGGATCCGTAAACCGAAAGATATAAAAACTGTGGCCTAAATTGTAAATTAAAAACTTGTAATATTTGTCAATGTTAATGCTTAAAGAAAATCAAGGCGATAGAAATTTAATGAGGGACTGAATTTTTTTCCTTGTAACATTTAATTTTTCATCCACTTGCAACAAATAAGTATATTTTGAATTTTGAATGTCCCATCCAGCTGTTGATCAGTCTGTTTTACAACTTGATGAAATTTTTGTAAGTACAGTTTATGTGGCTCTTCTCTGTTGATTTTACAAACAGTTAACAATTTTTGTTTACAGATAAATTAAAGCAAAAGGTTGAGGAGGGAACACAGGGCAAAGGAAAAGGTAACAATTACCACCTAGGATCCTCCGTATCTGTGACACAGAAAGAAAACGTGAAATTAATATTTATTCATACTCTTTAAGTTTGTTCAAATATACATTTTTTCATCTGGATATCTCCTTTGTAGAACCATTACCTGCTGATGATCCAATTAAGGCAGCCCAGCAAGAAATCAAAGATCTAGAAGAAATTCTTCCCGACATCAGAAGTAAAGTAAGAAATTCTGTTAGATTTGTTTAAAGTGTCATTTCTTAATTTATTGATACTGCTACATCACCCCCTTTTGAATGTTCGGTATAACTTTTTGTGATTATGACTTTCATAGATAGAAGACATGGAGGAAGAAAAGAAGAATATTGATGAACTGAAAACACTAACAAAAGAAACACTGGTAAATATCCTCTTCTTGGGTTATGATAAACTCAGCTCTAATTAGCAAGATTTAAAACTGTAAACTTTAACTGAACACATAAATGTACATGTATGTATGAGAGGCAGAATCTCATTTCCGAAAAGCTCATAATGCTTTTGGTGCCAATCATTTTAAGCACCTTAAATTAAATTTGATACTGCATTTATTGCCAGGGGATACTTTCACATATTTCTTTTTCTATCAGTAAACGGCATAAACTTGATTATCACTTTTTCAGCATCAAGATACCTTAAAATTTTATGAAAAAATGAAATTCTCTTGAATGAAATGTGTGTTATAGATTTTAAAAGCATATGAAAGGATGTGTTTAAACTTACATTTAGATTTATTTTCAGGCTGCAGCAACAAGTGAACTGAAACCTGCAGAATCAAAAGATTCATCAGAGGTAATGAGTTTATGTAGATGCTGTATTTTATGTTAATGAGCCTTATAAACATTTGATTTGTTCATGTACATTTCATTCGTATTTTTCCTTCATGTTAGCCACAGAAGGCAGCATCAGACATCAGCCATCTTGTCAGAAGAAAGGTAAGTATTTTAATCTTATTTAAGATTCATTTTTCAAACAAACTTAGTTGAATCTCTTCATAAAATATATGTGTAAATTGATTATGATCCTGTGCATGCTTAGAAAATACAGCAATGATGATTTAGTCTCTTACGATATTGTGTAGTAAGTTTTTTTGAAGAGAAACTTAATTTACTTATCCTAGCGTCTGAATTTATGCTCCAGTTATGTAAAATTTGAATATTTCTTGAATTGATGTTAGTCCTGAACACTTTGATAATAATAATACTTTATTTAGAGAGGGTAACCCGATTTTAAAGTGTTATTCTTTAAAGGCATTATCTTGAGTGTTTGATTTTAACTAATGATACTTTGTTGAAAATCAGATTTTGGTGTGTAAAATTCCCTTCCATTCATGAGTGTGATACTGTTTTACAGAGGAAGCCAGAGGAGGAAAATGCTGAAGCTGACACCAAGAAAACCAGACAGGAGGATGGATCAGGGGACGCTACAACGAAACCGAATGGTACTGCCAATGAAAAATCTGAACCGGTAAATCAGTCCCAAAATTACCATTCCAGTTACTTTACACACTGCATGATTATGTGTGCACCAAGTTGGGAGTTTTAAATTCAGTTGTTGCAAAGAAATTCAGATGATTAAATTATGTTGTTTTGCATGGCATTTTTAGCTCATCTGATCTAAAGTCTCAAGTGAGCTTTTCTGATCAGTTTTTCTGTCATCTATCTGTTGTGTGTCTTATGTAAACTTTTCACATTTTAACTCAAGAACTACAGGGCCAATTTCAACTAAACTTGTCACAAAGCATCCTTGGAATTCAAGTTTGTTCAGATTAGGGGCTTTGTCCTCTTTCAAAGGGAGAAAATTAAGTTATCTCTTTCTGTACTAATGCACCAAGCAGAGGAAACAGTTTGATGAAAATACTGTTGTTCAAGGTCTCATAGTTCATTCAATTAATGTAATATTCAATTAATGTAATATCTTGCATTATTGTTTGTTTAAATGCTTTCATTGCATGGATATACATTTGCATGTACTAACAAATGGGACTTTACATTGGATTTACATGTATTTTGTAAACCGTCAAGCTCGTAAAAAATTTTTCTAAACTTAGTTAGGAATTACATCTTGTAATAGATTGGTAATTGAGTGAAAAAAAGAAAGTCTAATTAAAATACATAAATGTATTAATATTTAATGTTTATTGAAAGAAAACTTCTAACAATATTTGTTATACTTTCAGGAAAGTGATGCTAAGAAAAAGGAAGCCATGGATGTTGAACCCCCCAGAGCTGTAGCTTCATAGTCTACCTCCCCATTCTTCATTCTGATTGGTGTTTGATCAGGTCATCACCCAGGATGAATCATCAAGCATCACTATGTACATTTTGTGCAACTTCAAACTGCTAATTTGTGATATTTATTGACATTGTACATACCATTGCATGTTGGAGAAATGTTTACCAAATTAAGAAATGATTCCATTGTTCCAATTTTCACTACACAATAAAGCAGCTATCAAGAATTTTTTTTTTATTTTCATGGGAAATGATGGATTGAACACAGCAAAGCAAAGGCTGTTTTGAGGTGGTCACATTGTCATTTATCTGTCTTCACAAAAATAAGGGGACATTTAAATCCCATTTATCCTCTAATTGGAATTGAACCTGTCTTATTTCTCGTATGTTAGCTGTGACGAGCTTTCCAATTTTACCATTTTAATACCCCGGCAAACAGAATTTGGATGGTATGTAGGAATCACCTTATCTGTCTGTCTGCAAACATGTTTGGTCTATATCTTTCTTATGAGAAACATTAGTAGAATCTACTACTTTACACAAAGATTGTTCATGACCTTGACCCAAGATCTTTTTATGGATAAACTTGGTGAGTTCCCATTTTACACAAGGATTGCTTATGATCTGATGGTTGATCCAGGGTCATTGTAGATCATGTAGATCCTCAAAAACTCTAAAGAACTTTTGGAAAATTTTAAAATCACCAAATTTTTTCGAAACTCTGCATCAAAACATACGACTTTTTTACATCCAATCCTCTTGATAAAACTAGAGGTACTGTGAGCACTGAGCTCACAAAATTAAACCCCATCTCACAAATAATGGCAAAGTCAATATTCTGAAATTAAAGTGTCAAATCAAAAAGTTAAATGAGGTCATAGTGGCAATGTGCAACAAAGATTATGTGAAAGTTTCATTAAATTTAATTCAGTGGTATAAGAGGAGTTGCAGATAAGAGATCATGGTTAGTAATCTCAGCGAGATGTCGTAGGGACTAAAAATATTGGTCTGGTGTCCCTCGACATCTTAGCTCTGTAAAAAAATTCACACAAAGTGTTTCGGGGTTTTTGTCCCAACTTCGACCACTTGTTTCAATCGAATACAGGCTGAAATGAATTTAGCTGCCCGCTTCAACTGTTTTCTTCGCAGTGGTTAGAGCGTCTGCTCTAGAGTCGCGAAGTAAGGAAGTAAGGATCCTTACGTCGTGGGACGTGGAGACTGGTCCTTCGGATGGGACCGTATAAACCGATGTCCCGTGTCACAGTAGGTGCTAACACGAAAAAGATCCCTCCCAGCTCAATGGCCCTGAGTGCCGAGTATAGGACAAAATTTGCAGCTCACCACCGGCAAGTGGTGGCGTCTCCGTATGAGTGAAAAATTCTCGAGAGGGACGTTAAACAATATACAATCAATCAAATTTTTTCTTTGGACTTCTTTTTAAGTCTATATCACTATACGGCTTTCGTTTCTTACCTTTAAAAGATTTAAATCCAACAAAGTGAAAAGTTGTTACGCCACCGTGAATGAAGTTTCGGGGGTGTATAGTTTTTGTCGTGTCCATCCGTCTGTCTGTCTATTTGTCCGCAAAAATTTAACTTTAAATTGTTCATACCCGGTAACTTTTGATTAGATAGGGCTATGACTTTCCTACTTCACAAGTGTGTTTCTTGTGAAAAGACCTTTCTTTTGGTACCATCAAATTTGACCCTTTGACCTTGGAGTTTGACTCACTTTTACACAAATTTTTACTTTCCATATCTCTTGAACAGCTAGTAGATACCTGGATATTTACACTTCACATATGTATTCTTTGTGGAAAGACCTTTCATTGGATACCAACAATCTTGACCTTTTGATCTAAACCTTGGAGATTTCCTTTCTTATGAAAAAAAATTAACCTTAACCATAACTTTTGAACACTAAGGGCTAGTGATCTCATATTTGACATATGTAATTCTTGTGAGAAAACCCTTCACTGGCTATCAAAACCTTTGACCCTATGACCTTGGAGTTTAACCAACTTTTAAAAAGCAAACCTTTACCATAACATTTAAAGGGTTAGGAATAGTGCTTTTTTAATACTTTACATATTTAATTTTTGTGACAAGACTTTTGACCCTTTGACCGTAGAGTTTGGTCTACTTACAATTTTTTAATCGTGGCCATATTTTTTTCTTTTGAAGGTTAGGGCTAGAACTTCCATACTTCATAAAGTAAGTTTGCATTTAAGAAAAGTTTAATCTTCGCTATTTTGCCATACGGAGGCATCAATGTTTCACAAACACATCTTGTTTTTCATATATAGCTTCATGCTATTTGTTTAAACCTCCGAAGCTGAAGAGTTCAGTGTTCCAACACCCTTGGGTTAAGGTCAACTCAAACCCTTGAATTTTTTAGCAATCAATGTACTCAGTATAAGCTTCCAGCGCTTCTCCATTACAAAGTCAAAGTTTCAGAATTGAGAAAACTTGTTTTTTTTTCAGCCAGTGACCTTGAACTTGCTGGAATGACCTTGGTTCAAGGTCCTGACACACCACATTACCTATTTGAATACTTTATATGGTCCCATCCTACCCACAGGGGTAATGGTTTGAAGAAATTAGAATTTACACTACCTTAAAAAGTTTCCACATAAGTTTCAGCTTTTTTGGCACTGTAAATTTTGACAAGATTTTCATGCATATATACTTAATTGTAAAACCATTGTGGTCTCATGCACTTACCCCTTGGGACATGGTTTGAACAGTTTAGAATCTACACTACTCCAGAAAGCTTCCAAAATTAGTTTCAGCTTTTCAAGCCCTGTGGGTTTAGAGAAAAGTTTAAACATTTTTCCAGTGTATTTCAATGTAAAAGTTTGATTCCCTTTTCTGACCCCATCATATCCCTGGGTGTCAAGATTTGAACAATATTGAATTTACACTAGCTCAGGAGTCCTCCATATCAGGCCCTCTTGATTCTTGATAAGATATATATAAAGGTTTTCCCTAATTTATTTCAATGTAAAAATTTGATTCCGTATTGTGGCCCTACCCGACTCCTGGGGGCATGATTTGAACAATTAGAATTTACACTTTTTATGCATTGGGGGGTATATTGTTTTTGTCCTGTCTGTCTCAGTCTGTCTGTTTGTTTGTTTGCAAACTTTAACCTTCGCCATAACTTTTGAATCATGAAAGATAGAGACTTTATATTTGGTATGCATACTCCACTCATTAAGCTCTTTCAAATGACACCAAGGTCAATGGCCTTGGGACCTTGACTGTGACCTATATGCTAAAAATAGGTTTTTATCTGCAAACTTTAACCTTCGCCATAACTTTCGAACCACGAAAAATAGAGACTTCATATTTCGTATGCATACTCCACTATTTAAACTCTTCCAAGTGACACCAAGGTCAATGACCTTGTGACCTTGACCTGTATTGTAAAAGTATTTTTTCTTATATGCCCGTTTTAAGACGGGACGTATTATGTTATAGGCTTCGTGTCCGTCCGTCTGTCTGTCTATCCGTCTGTTAGCTTTTCTCTTGTCCGGCTCATAACTTTAATACTATAAGGCCTAGAGTTACCAAACTTTGTCAGCTGATACATCTTGGGTAGAAGGTGTGTCTCGCACAAAAAATAGGTCACTCTGACCTTTAATAAAGATGCTATAACCAAATATGGAAAAATCCTGTCTGGCTCATAACTAGAAAACTATGAGACCTAGAGCTTTCAAACTTGGCAAAAGTATACAGCTAAAGTAGAAGGTGTGTCGCAGCCTATTTCAAGGTCACCGTGACCTTTAATTTAAGTGAATTTTTTTAAAAACTAAGTCTTTTAAATTTTAAACTTCATAATCCTAAAAAATGTAAAAATATAGTTGTATTTTTATTAAAAAATGTTAAATTTAAGTAAAAACTTATTTTTTCATTATATACTTAACAGCAATCTGTAACAAATGTTTATGCTTTGAGAGGAATTCAGTTTGTCCCATGGGCATAATTATCAAGCACTGGTCAAGAAGAATTTTGATAGAAGAAACTTGCATGTCAAATTAGAGAGAAATTAATGAGTTTATTGTCAGGAGCTAAGAGCATCTCTAGATCTGATGCAGCTGTTATCTTAATTTATCTCTTGGGAGTTGGGCAAAAAGAAATGGCCTCATAGTTGCTTGTGTTAATCAAGAGTTCTTGATGGCTAGCCCAGATAAAGATCTTCCAATTGGTGTAATGTAATTAAAACAAATTTATGTTTTAGTGTATGATTAAAACTAAATTAGTATTGTATAATTAAAACTTATTATTAATATACATGTGTTCATTGAAAAAAAATATATATTTCAATTTTTATATATATTTGCAACAAATTGCAGTCATGTCTCACTTAGAATTTTATAGTCTGAAGAAATTATAATTTATGTTTGATTTTTTTATTCAACTGTAGCATTTCTATTATTTAATAAAAAATGCAATAAACAATTTAAGTTTAAGTAAGCTGCAGATGGATATTTGTTATGCTCTAACACAACCAGTTTAGAGTTATATGATTTATTTGTTATAATCAATCCCTACACTGCAAGTCTCTTAGAGATGTATGATAAGAAATGGAAATTAAATCATTGAAATCTGTGTCAATCTGTTAATCAAGGCTACCTGATTTTCTTGCATCCTAACCAACTTATTATTATTGAACAATATTTGACGGGTGTATCATGCTGTGGCGGGGCACTTTATTGTACCTTTGCCATAACTTTCGAACCATAGAAGATAGAGACTGCATATTTTAGTATGCATACTCCACTATTTAATCTCTTTCAAATGAGACCAAGGTCAATGACCTTGTGACTTTGACTGTGACCTGTATGCTAAAAATAAATTTATGGTACCTTTACCATAACTTTTGAACTATACGAGATAGAGACTTCATATTTGGTATCCATACTTAACTGATCAAGTTCTTTCAAATGACATCAAGGTCAATGGCCTTGTGACCTTGACTGTAACATAATAAGGTAAAAATAGCCTTTTAAAAATTTTGTTGCCGCCGGGAGCATAGTGTTTCACAAACACATCTTGTTTTTATATAAGTTTTCAACTTTTCTGGCTCAGAGATTTAATTTATTAGATTCTTTTTTTATTTCAATATAATATCAAAATGTGTTTGTGAAACAAAATATGTTGGTACCTAAAGTAAGATCTTTTCACAAGAAATACAAATGTAAACTAGTGCTATAATTGTAACG